TGTTCGACCTGGAGAGCGACGGCGAGGGGCTCGGCGACGACGCGCTCGACGACGGGATGAGCGAGGCGGGCTACAGCAGCAGGCAGGGCGAGGAGGAGAGCGAGGGCGAGTACGACGCCTCCGAGGCGGGGGAGGACGAGGCGGGGGAGGACGAGGCGGACGGCGCAGCCTCCGAGGCGGCCTCAGAGGGCGGCAGCGGCGGCGACCCGTCCGACTCTCTCTTTGACGACGAGTGACCTGCACGAGTGACCCTCTCGGCGGAGGCAGAGGCGGCGAGCGGCGGGCGGCAGCTCACTCGGCGGGCGCGGGAGGGAGCCGGCCTCTGGCTGGCCGCCGGACAAAGGGGGAGGTAGCCAGGCGGGCAGGGGGAGGAGCGTAGCCATAGGCAGAGAGCGAGAGAGAGGAGCGAGCAAACGAACGCAACACCCGAGCGGTGCGGCCGGCTGTCACACCGGGCAGCGCTCTGAGTGCGCGAGACGCGCTCGAGGAGAAGAGAGGCGGAGAGAGAGTCCGCTCTCTCCGCCGTACCGTCATGTGCCATAAAACAAAATCACATGGTATCTGTGTTCGTCCGAAATAAATAAATAAAACGGGCACCTCTAGCTCTACTACGTACAGTGGGTTTCGGGCATTAAGAAAACGTAGTATTAAGAAACCACGCCGAGCGATTTTCGCGAAAATCTAAGAAACCACGGCGCGCCGCAGGCGCGCCGGCTGGCAAGCGCCGCAGGCGCGCAGGCTGGCAAGCGCCGCAACACACTCACCCAAACGCCCCTGTGATGCAGTCGGTTGGCGTCGACGACCACAAGGTGCCGCCCAACGAGACCGACCAGGTGCAGCCGATTGATCGCGGCATGGGGCGCCAGATCAAAGTCTACCTCGGGCAGCTGCTCGATGAGTGGCTTGACGACGAGGACAACCTCGAGAAATGGGAGTCGAACAAGCTGACGGCCTCCATGAAGGCGCTCCAGGGCGAGGCCAAGCGCAAGTACTTCGAGCACGCTCTGGTGCCCTGCTCACAGCCGATGGCACGGACGACGACCTCATCAAGCTGGAGGGCGCCCCCGCCGGCTACAAGGTGGTGATCCCGCAGCTTACTTATTTTATTTATTTTTTGAGAGCGCCTTCGTTGTTAATAATACATAGCCCGGTCGAACACCCCCCAAACAAATAAATTCCCCCTTCGAGCTGAGAGGATTTGGGATTTCAGTCCCGCGCAAATTCGTCATCAACGATGGGGCCAACGGCCGAAAAGCGCCGGTAAGCAAGGACGATGGAGGTGCGTCTTTCCCATGCTCGCGCGCCCCCCGAGCGCGAACTATGCACGGGCCCGGCTCGCCCGCTTGGGGATCCACCCGGCACACCCCCGCCCCCCACCTGCCGGCTTACCTGCCGTCAGTTCGCGCGGGATCCCCCACAACTGTCAGCAACACAAATCCACCACTTTTTGGGCTGCCTTCAGCCTCGCCTCACAGCCGACCTTCTGGTCGTACGCGGGTTCTTAAGGGTCGTACATGCCGGCCATGACGTCTGCCAACCGGCCGTTCGCAGGCCGTAGCTTCGCACGACCCCGACAACACCGAGAATGACCCGCGCGAGAAAGTGTGCGCGGCGGCGTACTTTTCCTCTGAGGCTGTGGCTGCTGCCCTGGCCTCCCTGGCGACCAAGGATGAGCCGAGCGCCGTGGCGCTGGCCGTGGCTTGCCCTGAGGGCGGCCTCACCCTCTCGCACGTCGCCTACCTCCTCAACTTGGCGGCTAAGATGGCGAAGGCGACGGGCGGGCTCGACAATAAGACCCTGATCTTTGCCCGCTGGGTGGCCGCCTGCGAGGCGGCGAGCGCTAGCGGGCCGATGTCCTTGCCCACGTCCGCCAGCTCCGCGGTGAGTGCGCTCTGGCTGCGCTGCGAGCGCCACGTCAAGGACTACAACAAGCGCCGCGATGCCGCGAGACGGTCGTCGGCGGCGGGGCCAAGAAGAAGAAGGCGAAGCGGAAGCGCGGCTGGGTCTACCTCAACGACTGGGGGTGGGACCCGACGGACGAGTTCGTCATCGAGCGGCTGATTGGCAAGATGGTTGCCGACGGCGGGGACGTGCCGGGGCGGGAGGGGGAGGAGATCGCGGCGGGGACGGTGCTCTACAAGGTGCTGTGGGAGGGCTGGCCCCCGGAGATCGCGACGTGGGAGGAGGAGGACCAGGTGCCGTGCGGGGAGGTCGACTTTGTCGCTGACTACGAGGCGGCGCTCGAGGCGGAGGAGGAGGACGATGACGAGGAGGGCGAGGAGGGCGAGGGCGAGGACGCTATGGAGGCCTAGGCGCGGAGGATGCCGCTGTGTGCGCTGAGACACGCTCGTACGTGTGTGCTGGAGCCGGTCTGTTGGGTGTGAATGTGAACACTGACCCTCACCTAGTAAGGGTTGGTCAACCATGTGGGTGTCTATGTGTTTCTCTCGGGCATTAGATTCTTATTTCATCGTCAAAATGCCCCCATATTCACTTCCCAAAATCGCGACCCGGGGTGTTCGACCGGGCTATAATACAAACCCATTGGTCCTGTGTCGCAGTCACACTTGTCGCAGTCACACACACGCACACGCCAATCCGCACCGCGCGCCCGGCCACCGCCTCGCCTAGCGCGCCTCGCACGGAAAAATGCCTCGGCCCAGCGGTCCTGAGTGCCGGCCGGGGCTAAGAAACCACGGCGTGGGCTGGGGGAGGAGGGTGGAAAGGCTTAGAAACGGCGGCGTGCCGCAGGATCCTGTTTTCTTAATGCCCGAAACCCACTGTACTGTGAGATGGGTAAAATGTGAAAAGGAACAGGTCGGAGGTCGCCCCGTCTGTGTTCGTCCGAGTGTTGGTCCGGGAAATTCTCTTTTTCCACCAGCGGGATCCTCCGAAATACTGTCCCGTTTTGCTGTTCACAGCTAGGGACGGCCTCTGCGGCAAAGTCAAACCACCCCACCACCCTCCCTCCCTCCCACCTACCTACCGCAGCAAACCTTCGGCTCCCGCTCAGAGGCTCGCCGCGCCCGTGCGGCGCGCCGAGGCGGCGCCGAGGCCGGCGCCTTGCACCCGGCCCGCGGCCGGCACCGCCTCGCCCCACAACTGACCGCCCTGCGGCCCCTGCGCAGGCGTGCCACAGCGTCGCTCAAAAGCGACGGCCGGGTGTGGGCTGCTCCCTTGCCCCGTCACCCGCCGCGCCCTCACCCGGCCGCCTCACCGCGCACGGAGCGCTCGGCTGCTCGCCGCCGCCGCCGCGCGTCCCGCGCCGCCACGCTTCCTGACGCGCGCTCTGCACCAGAGCGCGCGTCGCTGGCACAGACGGAGCAGCGACCGCGCCAGCGGTCGCTGCTCCGCCCCCTCCGTCGCGCGCGCCGCGCGCGCGCTGCCGCCGCCGCCGCCGCCGCCCCCTCCTCGACGTCTTTTGCCTCGGTGTGGTGTGTGGTGCAGCGCGCGCGC